CGTCCGTACAAAAAATCAGAGATATTCCCGTTTTTTCGTTTTTTCAATTTTTTCATTCTTGTACGCTCGATATTTAGAGAAAAAATGAAAATAGTATATTGAAATTCGGCGTGATTATGGCTTTTACAATATTGAAGATTCGTATTTTGGATAGGCGCAATCGGCAGAGCCGTTTCGAAGATATTTAACCTTTTGTACAAATATATTTCATTAAAAGGTTGAATATCTTCCTGTAGACATCTTGTAGCATGTGGTTACGATTGTATACCTGTCACAAGGACAGGGAATTGCTACGGATCCATTCGGAAGCTTACTACCAATGGAATTGCTAGAAATAAAAAAAATAAAAGAACTAATAACGCAAAAAGTAACGGTGACATGCCTTCTGTCGGATAGGCTCGAACCCCTGCTTATTTCCATCTTCATCTTCTAATTAACAAAACAAAAAAACTTATTATTCAAATTAGTTTTAAAAAATGTACAAACTCGATGAAGGGTTGGAAAATATTTCCTCAAATTTTAGGGGTCTACGCACCTCCATAGCGCAATTTGAGGGTAAAATATGAATTTTTACCTCTTTTACATTTTTATTTCCTAATTAACAAAACAAAAAAAAATGTTATTCTAATTAATTTAAAAAAATGTACAAACTCCATGAAGGGATGAACGTTACTCCCTTAAATTTTAAGCGTCTTTGCACCTCCCCATTTAATTAAAAATTTGAATCTCAAAATTGATGGAACTTATTTGTTTTTGTTCATAACTAAAAAACTTATGAGTAAAAACAAAAAATATTTGTGTACAAACTCCAGAAATATATGATCCTTATCCCCAATAAATTTCAAAGTCCCCAGATAATTTAAACTATTAGATATGCCTATAAGAATGAGAATCACTGACAATCGAATCTTCTGCCAGCGAATCTTCTGCTAGTTTCAGCTTCATGTTTCTAACTCAATAAATTTTCATGTTCTCATTTATTCAAATAGAGGATTATGAAGCAAGAAGAACGTTCTGTCGTTTTTTAATCGAACAAAATGACAGGGACCCGATGTTCTTGTATAATGTCATGTGGACCGACGAATCATGTTTCACCATCAGGGAAGGAATTTTCAATCAGCACAATTGCCATAATTGGGCTGAAGAAAATCCTAGGCTGGTTCATACTCGGTCCTACCAACACAGGTGGGAACGTTTGAATGTGTGGGGAGCAATTTTGGGGAATGAAGTTTTCATTCGAGTGGCCCCAGATCCTCTCAATGTGAGATATCTGCGATTGTGACCTCTACTCTTCATTCCCTAGAAAGCAAATTACCTTGAATTCCTTCCACATAATTTGCCAGACATGGTTGAGGAAGGACCTGCAGGGAGATTTATGTGGTTCCAGCAAGACGGGGCTCCTGCACATAGTACGCTGGCAATAACAGAATTCTTGAATAATTCTTTCCCTGTTCAGTGGATTGGTAGACGTGGTCCCGTGCGTTGGCCTCCGCGATAAAATCCACATCCATTTATCCTCAAAATAACTAATTTTCGTTTTCCGTCACCAACCTCGGCTCCCCATCATTCCCATAGCTCTCCTGACCTGACTCCCATGGATTTTTTTCTCTGGGGTAAACTGAAGAAAGATGTTTACTCTGAACAACCCCAGAATCCTGACGATTTGGTGGCTCGTCTCCATGCAGCAGTTGCTGTTATCACACCGGAAGAGCTGGAGCGAGTACGACAGAATACAGTAGGAAGAACCATGCTTTTTCTTGATCAGGATGGAGGGATATTCGAACAATTTCTGTAGGAAGTCAAAGAAGAAAAAAAGCATTTATGAGGACCAATATTTGAAAAGGTTCTTCAAAGCCGAATATCCGAACGGCCCTTTTCAGGGCCAAAAGCTCCAACGGCCCTTTTCAGGACCAAAAACTCCAACGGTCCTGTTCAGGGCCATTAACTTCATTGAAACATTGGAAAATTCATAGCTGTATGGATGTCCTCATATTGTCCTTTTCTGTGTGGAAAAGAAAAATCTTCTCAATTGTGGAAAATTTTATGTCGTTTATCATGATTTTAGGTGATCAAAAGTTTGATGTTCCACCATTTTTAGGGTCAGGAATTTTAAGGGTCACAATCAAAGGGTCAGAAACATAAAGGGTCTGCAAAGGACTCTCATTTTAAGGGTAAAAAAATGAGGGTCAAAAGTTCGTCGTTGCAACATATTTTAGGGTCAGCAATTTTAAGTCAGGAACATGAAGGGTCTGCATGGGACTTTCATCTTAAGTATCAGAGAAAATAAGGGTCAAAAGTCCGGCGTTTGAACACTTTTAAGGTCAACAATTTCAAGGGTCAAGAACATGAACATGTGGTCTGCAAAGGACCTTCATTTTAACGGTCAGAAAAAATGAAGGTCAAAAGTTCGACATTCCAACATTTTTAGGGTCAGGATCATAAAGGGTCTGCAAGGCACTTTCATTTTAAAGGTCAGAAAAAATAAGGGTCAAAAGTTCGACGTTCCAACATTTTTAGGGTCAAAGGTCTAGGTCTGCGGTCTGCCCTGAAGTGAGGGCCGTTACGAGGTTTGGGGTTGGGGCCAAGTTTGCCAAACTTCAAACGTCAGAATGTGCGAAATGACCGACTAGAAAATTCCCTAGGTTATATAAATGTTCGATTTTCGAATGAGCTCAAATTCACCAATGCTCGACTGGGTGATGTTTCAACACTTATAAATATTCTACATAGTTTTTCTCATACTTATTCAAGTAAAAGATAGATCGATTGACCGAATTGATAGATGATAGAAAATACATTTTGCTAAATGAAAATATTCCAGAATATGTGAATGTTCAACTATTCATTCACATGAATTTGAATATTCCAGATACGATAGAATCACCGATGAACGACTGGTCCGATGGTTGAGAAGATTAGGAAATATCTTTGACCGCTAAGAGATTTTTTATGTTTTCATTTCATCCAAAAAGTAAGCATCCGAATATCCATATGCGGAAATTTGTGTTCCACCGAAAGGGAGATGGCGCGATTGTTCGATACTGTCGCGTAAACTGCTAGTAGCGACGTAGGGTCCCTAGGTTAGTCACCATATTCACTAAAATGTATATTATAGTTTGCTTGAGCCAACGTGATTGGTCCCCCGCCTTTTTGCATATCGTATTTGAAGTTGGAGTGATTTTGAGAGTAGCATTAAGAATCAGATACGTCTTGAACGTCAAACTGATCAGATATTTCCATAATCAAACTCTTTTGTTGTTAAACAAACCCAAATATATCAAACAAATAATATAATCGATATTCAGTGTTCACCTAAATAATTGTGTGGTTCAATTTATTTAAAAACTACCTATCCAAATTCCTGCACTTGTAAGCAGAGTGGTTCAGCACTCCACGGGCAACGGACATGCCATCTACATTTCTGGGAACGAGCTCGGTACGTAACAATACGCCCGAATGTGGATTTGTTCGACAGAATTGTAGGTAACGTTGCCGGAAAAGTAGAAATCATATATACTCTGAAAAGAATGAGTAATTACATAAATGAATATTAGTTTCTGTACTGTAAAATAGCGGTCCTAAACTATCTCAAATGATTCTCGAGTAATAGAAAATTGGTTTTATCCAGAAATTAATTATTTCCCTATGTTCTAATATGATTTCTACTTTATCTTTGGTGACTCGTCCACTCAGGAAGGATGTACAAACTTTACAAGGGCCTTCCCTTCAGGGCGGACCTCATTTTGAAGTTTGTAGAGCAACCCCTGCTGTTTAGTGAACAAGACAGTGTTCAAACGACAATATTCAATTGGATTAGTTTGTAAAAGTAGTGAGTTTCTCGCTCTCTGGAGGTGTACAAACCTCGTAACGACCCTCACTTCAGGGCAGACCTCACTTGCAAGTTTTTATACCTGCCCCTGCTGCTTGGTAATCGAGCCAGTTTTCGAACACAAATTTTCAATTAGATTCGTCCGGAAAACCAGTCAGTCCATCCTTGCGACGAGGTGTACAAACTTCGCAAGGGTCCTTACGTCAGGGCAGACATCATTTTGAAGTTTGTACAGCTTTTGTTGGATAATTTTTAAAGGTTTTACACCTAATCTTACTCGATAGTTTTTTTATTATTATTGAACTGCGAAATTTTTATAATTTTAGGGGTGTACATACTCGAAACTCATTTGTTGCTTATATTTATAGATTTTCAGAGTTTGTACATTTCCCCTATTCAATTGGTATTACGATTTATATATTGGCTGTGCTAGCTTTTAAAAAGCTGGCACAGTCATTTAAAAAAAACTATAAAAGCAAAAAAATTTTTTTTTCCGCAACAAATGAGCAACAAACGTAAGCTTTTAAATGCAGTCAACGTCTTTTGATTGTGCTGATTTGGCTGTGCTAGCTTAAAATGCCTGAAAACCAAATGATTCCAATGCTTGCATTCAATAGAAAAAATGTGAGGAGGCGAAAAAATTTAATAAATTGAGGAAAAAATTATCGGGGTATCGACGACGACAACTTGCCAATTCACTATCAACATTTTTCGGGGTGAAGTCATTTCGACGAAGAAGGAAAATCTGTTAAACGATATCCCCGAGAGGGTCGTATTGAGTTTTCAACTTTTTGGAATGCTTTAGAGCATTTTCAGTGATGCAAATTGACTGAAAACCCGTCCAATCGTCAATGGTTCGATGGAAAATTAGAAATTTTTTCTCGGAATACAATGTCTAAAAATTTGAAACCGTCAATTTACCTGGTGTAGACCGCCAATATAAATAAATATAAATATATTCAGGGAAAAACTGAATAATTGAAGAAAAACGTTGATTTGTACGTGAAACAATGAACAAAACTGATTCAGCCTTTTGGATGTTGTGAAAAACAGTTGAAATGTATCAAAGTAATAAAAAAACTTGACGGTATAATACCAAACCAATAATTGGCGAAGTCACCTAGCTCAATATTACGTATATCCTGTAAGATTTACCAGATTATTGATTTACCTGAAGAATATGTTGTTCAGACGGAATTTTTGGTCTTCTGACAGTGAAGGTCTTCTCCTGTGACCCACAAATGTTCAAGTCCACGTGACAAAAATCCTTTTTCAATTGATTCAATAATAATGCATCAATTTTATCTGCTGGGTCACATTTTTTATATGGAAATGCGCATTTTTGAAGTAACCAGAAAAATGTCTGAGTAATGTCACCTCCTCCATAATCCATTCGAACTCGAGTATTTCGGTGGGAGATTCCATCCTCTACACAAGATACCGAGGTTTTTTGGTCTCCCACATCTACTACACAAGCATAACCGAGACCTGCTCCGAATGTGGCTGCCACATGATCCTAATTATGATCAATAATTATGTATTTGAATAGCTGAAACTATGTTGCGAATCTATCAATTTCATACCTGAAGAAGGAAACATCCACCGAATCCAATATCACACAACATGAGTGTCGTCAACTCCTTCAAATAATACCTATTATAAATATCTGGAATAATGAGCACAGCTCGATAGTGTTTCAAATCTTTCAAGGGAATTTGCAGCTTTTTCACCAAAACAAACTCCCAGATAGTTTTCAAATCAGCTAAAATTGCCGTTAAACTCCCGCCCGGTCCTGGATGTATATTCAATTCTCCGCGACGGTAAGGGAAATGAATATTGAATCCATCTTCAGGATTCACTCGCAAGACGTCATCACCAACGATTACTTCAGCGTCCGTTTTCAACCACTCCTCACTGCAAGGGGATAAAATTTCTGGACTTGATCGTCTGTTAAAAGCAGCTATTTGTTGAGGTGGAGTCGCGTATCTTCTTCTACCATCGGATTGTAAGCAGGATTGAAGGGTGTGAGATACTTGAAGACGTGATTCTTCCATTGCTTGAGTTAGTTCCTTCGTCTGTATAAGCAAAAAATACTATATATTATTGTAGTATCGAAATGTATTATTGTTCTGAGAAGACTATATATTATTGTAGTATCGAAAATTTGACAAATAAGCATATTTCGAAAGTGGAGAACTACGCGGACAATTTAGAAGTACAAAGGTCTAGGCGAAGGTCTAGACCATGGAGAACTACGCGAGAGAAATAATTATTTAGTCATAGGGCCTGACCCTGGGGTTAGGCCTATAGAACAATGTCTACATTCGGTTACATTACGTTAGGGAATCGATTGATGGCTATTCGATGGCGATTCAATAGGGGCTTGACTTGTTCACTCAGTCGATGCCCGGTCGATCGTAAGTTGATCACTAGTCGATGGTTAGTCGATCGAAGGTCAATGGTAAGTTTTTGGTCGATTGCTAGTCGATCGATTGTCTATCAGCTGAGCCCTCCCCCCCCCCCATCGAGTGTTCCGACAGGCTTATTTCGGCATTTTATTGAGGTAGGCATTAACTCATCAAGACATAAATAAGTTTCGAGGTAGAATTCTATTACTTTATTGTTGTAATCTTGGAACCACGAACCTCTTCGACCCACGCTGCCATGTCTTAGGAATTTTCCAGAGATGAGAAAGGTGAGTGAGGCTAAATGGATGCTCGTTGGTGGGGGAAGAGACCAGAAGGGAAAAATCGAGAATCACCAAGGGATGAGGGTGACATTTGGACTTAGTTGGTTTTGGGAGATCTAATGATACGGTTTATATGGTGAAGACGGTTCAACATAGTTGACGTCGGTATATATTAGCAAAGCATTTTTCCATGCCATGTTCTGTGGAATATTAGTGTTTGAGTTAAGGGGAGAAAAACCTTTGGACGCCCAAAAGAATGAGTCATTTTTTATGAATTTTTTTTACAGGTGATAAAATAATCGCATATATTATTACAGCTTTCAAGTGTTGAAAAACATTTTTTTTACAAAACAAAATGTCGGCGTTGTAGGGCGTTCCTTTAGGCGTATTTTGGGTGACATCGAAAACTGCTGCATTTTTCATGTTTTCTATTGATCTGAAACAGAAAAAAAAAATTTGTTGATTACTAAGAAGTGCAGGGGAAGCATCAACCTATAAAATTATAAAAACGTATAAAATTAAAAATTAAGTAGGCTGTTTAATCAAATGTTCAAATTTTCTCGACAATTTTTACCCCAAAAAGTAATTTATTTACGCGATATTTTTAAAATTGTACAGGCTGTCCCAAAGAGGATTGACTAAAGTAGAGGCTCAGATCTCGGGGTTGAAGTGACCCCAAGCTAAAAATAGTTCGACCCCAAAGGAGGGATGGTGCCACGGTCGAATCTGACGGCTGGGCGAACTGCCTGTGCGGGTAACTCGGCAGTAGCAGTCCCGCTGGCACAGGGATAGTTTCGGAGGGGAATTTATGCTCTCCTCGTCCTCAACATGTTCTTAATGATTTTCAGGTGATTCATTTGCTGGCTAATTCATATTAAGGAATGGAACCCAGACGGTGTGATGGAGAATTAAATTCCCCATCAATCGATCCCCGTTGCATCCCTTAATCTCTGTAACAAAAAAATACAAACTAAGTCAAAAGTCATGGGCCAGTGAGAAACATGATTTTCTTCTCGGCGCACAATGACTTTTCACCATTCGCCCGTGAATTAAAAATTCACTTCTCCCCTCCTAATGGAGATTAAGGGATGAAAAAAGGGCAGTTCGACGGAGAATTAAATTCTCCATTAATTAATCCTCTTTCATCCCTTAATCTTTGTAACAAGAAAATAAAAACTGCCATGAACGTCAGGGGCCAGTCAGAAAAATAATTGTTTCGCGGCGCACAGTGACTCCCGGTAATTAAAAATTCACCTCTCCCCTCCTAATTGAGATTAAGGGATGAGAAAAGAGCAGTTTGACGGAGAATTAAATTCCCCACCAACTAACCCTCTTTCATCCCTTAATCTCTGTAAAAAATGGAAGAAACTGTCATGGAAATAACAGCGCAGTAAGAAAAATAATTGTTTTGCGGCGCAAGTAGTTAGGCTGGACGGGTTCTGGATAGTAGTTCGCCAAATCGCCACCATATACGCCATAAGGCGTGGAAGGTTCTGGAATGGTGGCGCCACCGTCGCGGAATTTTCTAGACGGATGACGTCATCGATGAGTCACCTCATCAATTCGGGGGCATGGTGGGGATACTTCCTGAGTCCTGTTGGGACTTGTATGGAATATGATACGAGTGGCGGCGCCACCGTCATGGAATTTTCTAGACGGATGACTCATCGACTCGCGTGGTGGGAGAATCCCTCTAAGACCTGTTGGGACTTGTATGATGCCCTGTTGAAACTTGCATGAAATCGGATATTGGTGCCACCGTCGCGGAATTTTCTAGACAGATGACGTCATCGATGACTCATCAACTCGGGGGCGTGGTGGGGGTACTTCCTGAGTTCTGTTGGGACGTGTATGGAATATGATAGTAGTGGTGGCGCCACCGTCGCGGAATTTTCTAGACGGATGACGTCATCGATGAGTCACCTCATCAATTCGGGGGCATGGTGGGGATACTTCCTGAGTCCTGTTGGGACTTGTATGGAATATGATACGAGTGGCGGCGCCACCGTCATGGAATTTTCTAGACGGATGACGTCATCGATGAGTCACCTCATCAATTCGGGGGCATGGTGGGGATACTTCCTGAGTCCTGTTGGGACTTGTATGGAATATGATACGAGTGGCGGCGCCACCGTCATGGAATTTTCTAGACGGATGACGTCATCGATGAGTCACCTCATCAATTCGGGGGCATGGTGGGGATACTTCCTGAGTCCTGTTGGGACTTGTATGGAATATGATACGAGTGGCGGCGCCACCGTCATGGAATTTTCTAGACGGATGACTCATCGACTCGCGTGGTGGGAGAATCCCTCTAAGACCTGTTGGGACTTGTATGATGACATGTTGAAAATTCCATGAAATCGGATATTAGCGCCACCGTCGCGGAACGTTCGAGAAAGATGACTCATCAATTCGAGTGGTGGGGGAACCGTCCTGTCGGGACTTGTCGATAAGTTATCGACTCATATGGTGGGGGAACCGTCCTGTTCAGACTTGTATGGAATATGATACTAGTGGCGGCGCCACCGTCATGGAATTTTCTAGACGGATGACTCATTGACTCGCGTGGTGGGGGAATCCCTCTAAGACCTGTTGGGACTTGTATCATGACATGTTGAAACTTGCATGAAATCCGATATCGGCGCCACAAGCTGTGGAAGGTTCGAGACGGATAACGTCATCGATATGTTATCGACTCGCATGGTGGGAAACCGCCCTCGTGGGTCTTGTATGCAATATGAAAACCTGTGGATACATGGATAAAATTGGATATTGCGGCCAAAATCGGGAAGATATCGAGATGAATGACGTCATCGATGAGTCATCGACTTGCACGGTGGGGGAACTCCCGGTAAGTCCTAAACATGTGCAAATATTTAACAACATTTGCAAACATTTGACAACATTGGAGAACATTTGAAAATGTATGCAAATATATGTAAACAATTGCAAAGATTTGACGATATTTGCCAACATTTTGCAAACATTTGACAACATTTGCAAACACGCTGCAAACATTTGACGATATTTGCAAACGTTTAGAAACATTCTGCAAACATTTACAAACATTTACAAACATATGCAAATATGTACAAATATGTGAAAACAATGGTTGAATATTTTCAAGATGAATGACAACGATGAGTCACTCAGACTGATAAATCATCAATGTGTGAGGTGGGGGTTTTCCGTAAGTCCTTCTGAGACTTGTACATTCGAGAAAGATGACGTTATCGCGGTGAGGGTTCCCCCTTAGTCCTGTTGGGAATCATATGATACCATAATGACCGGTTGGAACTTGTAAGAAATTGGATATTGGCGCCACCGTCGCAGAACCTTCTAGACGGATGACGTCATCGATGAGTCATCCTCATCAACTCGGGGCGTGGTGGGGGTACTTCCTGAGTCCTGTTGGGACTTGTATGAAATATGATCTTATGATGAATCATGGTGTGATACAAAGGAGATATCATGTTATTTCTCGATTATTCTCAAACATTCTCCAAGGTTCTCAAATGTTCCAAGATGAGTCATAACCTCCAATTTGTGGTGGGGGGATCTCTATATAACGCGCTTACCCTATCCATTCCGCATTCAATCTGAGTCCCAGCTCTATTGATTGAACCTCGTATCCTACAGTGATATAAAGAGTTACCATAATGTGTTATCATAATCATCTTCATAAGGAGAACGATGGGGAATCCAGCACTAATGAGGAGATGATCCGTGAGTATTTCAACAAGGATTGTCATACATTCGCAAAATACCTGGTGACTGACTTACATTGTTTATGGGACAATTAGGAAGTATTGAAAGCTGAGCGACATCCTGAGGGGAAATCTATTTGTTCTAATTTTACAAGTCGACTTGAGGGATTATCTCACATAATCCAGAGCATCAATAATTTGGGGAAATTGAAGAAATTCTGCGAGGAGCTAAGGGATAAAATGACCAAGGTGGAGGAGAAGGATGAATTGGTGGCAAGGAGTGTCAATGAAATTCAATGGTTGAACTTACTCCACCATACTGCCTCAATGACAGTGAAGTTGCGGAGAAATTATCGATTCACGCACCACCTGATCTTCCACCATTGGGGGATTTCATCTATCAACTTCGCAAAAACTTCAGAGATCTGTGCTCCAAGTTCAAACATAACAAGTGTTATCCTTGTGATAAGTTATCTCAAACTCTGGAGATAATCAAAGGACATTTCCAAAATTTGCGAGTTTCAATTGAACTCCGGAGTTTTGAGTATGATATATCCTTCCCTTCTCGCGGTCATCTGCCTGCTGATTTGATTTGAATGATGATGGAGCCGATGGGCAAGAGTGCTGCGGAAAGAGATGTTGCATTAGGACTATGCATATCGATCTGCTCGTCGAGGTCCATGGGAGGAGATAG